GTTGTGCAGAATGGCAGGTGTGCTAATATGAACGTTGGCACGAGCATCGCATCAAGCCGCTGACAATACCTTCAAAAAATATACAGCTCCCCAAACAATACGGGTTGACGAAGCACTCCAAATCATACACGAACAACCACATTCATTTAAATATTGTTCAGTACTAGAATTTGTGTTAACGGAAATACGAATAGATCGACGTAGCACTACTCCATGTTCGTGCTGTTCTCACAGAGTGAATCGTAATTCTGACTCACATCTAAGATCAGGGACACACAATCAGATCGCCGCAAACACCGCATACGTTTTACTCCAGTTGATGTTTATCAGATAAATCCCATTAAACCGACGTTTAACACGCTGCTCCGCTTCCGAATCTGTCTATGTTCAGTTTACCCAACTGGGCTTACAGGACTTTTGAATCTAATTTCATTTTTCATTTTTCGGAGACTGTTTATACTTTCCGCTGCAATTATAAATGTAAATGGGGTGAACAGTTGTGAACCAATGGTAGCAGTCTGCTTGTGTCGGTTTTGGCCAAAGCATTTCGACTCCGCCAACTCACCTCCTTAGTCTTTCCGGTTGAGTATTTTGACCGCTTGGCAAAGGAGGTTGTCATTTCAAGTTAGCCAACTAATTTTTTAGACTGAAATTTCTCATGTATTACTCACGCATAATTAAACGGAGACTACGTTTATAGAATAGATCCAAAGGGCATATGGATGGAATTTATGGCGCCCCTGATCTGCCCTATAAAACTAACATGATAAATCCCTCTGTTACATAATTACTGATACCTGCGTATCAAAGGCTTTTTAGTTATCATTGTTGTGAATTACTCACAGAGATCGGTGATATAAGTGCTAGAATAGGCTTAATTGGCGACTCCCTGTAAAGTGGGAGGCTGTCAGTACTGAATAATAAATACTAGCACAGTACGCAGTGTAGACGTGATAGGAGGTCAATCTGTACAATCGATTAACTGCAAAAGGGATAGATCCGCTTATTCAATAGAGGCCCTCCCGCTGCCGTTACCCACAGAGCCGGCAGGACCAACGACTTTACCTGTAACTTATCTCCTGGAGCCTTCTCGGTTATTTGGATTTGGATTTCTCTACTGGCTCAACTGCGAGTACCAGTCATAGCACATTATGCGAGCCTACTCGGTCAAAAAAGTGCCGGTGAACAGAAAATCTTTGCCCAACTTTTGATGAACGTCATATGACAGTCAAGAGTATAATAAAAGGTCTCGGTACCAGCTTTTTAGTTGGGTGTATGCCATATTTTGAATATCAAAACAACGTAGACACCGTTCTGGCCCCCAGAAAAGTAACTATCTCGTAGAGTGTAAGGAGGAATTCAAAAAATTAACAAGCAGTCGCATATTTATTGGGCTTTAAAATAATGCCAAGGGATTTTAAACAGGGCAGTCGCCAGCTTCAACACTAAAATGCAGCAGTATGCTGGAAATAGCGTGAATAGACAGCTGAACATTGCTGGTAAAAAAATGGACACTGGAATGACCCCTTCTGGTTTATTAACCATCATCAGTTAGTCATGCTCAACCCTAGGTGAGGCACCACCAGAGACTGAAACCCTTCACTTGTTGACTAGGAATTCAACGCTCTAATAATTGAGCCAATAATAACTTGAATGCGGTGTTTACTGGATCTTTCTGATTGTAGCAGTATACTCAGATTACTTTGTTTCTTACCTCTCACGTGGTCCAATGCAAGACGCTTGACCTAATTATTCACAGTCAATGAAAGGGAACGGAGAATCGTGTCTATCTGTATTTTTGTAAGGTCAGTTAGCAATGGTAAAAACTCGTAATCATCACGTTAGTCCTCCACATCATTTACTCGAAGGTCAAAAGGGTAGACGGCAGGTTGAAAACTAATCGTCATTTACAGTTAATTACACCGGATATTCCGGATTGAATCGACAAGGCCAATTCTCTTGAAAATGATTGCAAAACAATCGGAACTCCTTTCTGCTGTAGGCAACTGGGTGTACATTTGCACCGCTTACGGGAATCTAGTCGACATTTGGTAGAATAGGAGACAGAACATGAAAGAAGAACGATAGCACTTCGGAAAAAAAGAACGAGTACCAGTAAAAAGCTTCTGCTAGTTTTTCGGCATGCGCTAAAGCATTCAAGTCAGAATTCTGGGATGGGCCTAAGCTATTTTGTAACCATCGATTCTGGGTTGTAATGTTTATACCCAGTTTGAAGTAAATGCATCTTAAATGTTCTCAAGCAACGGTTCATTTTGAAAGCTTTGTGCAGAGGGTCTACATCTCTCTTGTGAATGCACCGGTACGGTCTTCTAGTCTACCTTTTAGGATTTTATGATCTTACAAAAAATGAGTCACTAACCCACTGAGATAACGAAAGCTCATTAATAACCATTTATCGTGGAAGTGGTTTGTGTGTAAGAGTGATCTAGGTCTCACGATCCTACGAAGTCCGATAACCGATAGCAGAGACCAGACGCGCGAGAATATTCAAATGCGTCGGAGGTACGTGTTTGCTTGCTTTGATCCGGGAATATTGCCGCTTTTACCAACGTAAATGCTGGTCTTCGTCAGCTTGAGATCTAATACAATTGCGTATGCGTTTTGAAGCACCTACCAACTTGCCTATTCTCTTCCTAATCGAGTTTCGGTAGTGCGTAAGTTGAACTCATCAGTGCAACTGGTGAAGTAGGGAAGTACCCTGTCCTATTACTCGTTTACACATATCAGACATTTCAGAATCGGTTCGCGTCGTTAGACATGCACAAACTTACTACCTCGACGTCTAAGCTTTAATGCAGAACCAACAGTTCGTTCTACTACTGTGACCCGTAGGAGTTGATCATTTTGACCAGCCGCAAACTATTGGACCCCTTGAGGCAGAGCTTACGGTAAGATCATTTTTACCGACTACGTTTACCTCTATTGGGACATGAATCGTAGACCAGTTGCGAACTCAAATGGGTCTTTAGTGACCTTTCTTGCCGTTAGTCACGAAAAATAAGTTCACAGTTTGTTGCATATGCTTCGGTTCAACGCAGATAGGGAGCTCGAAAAAATGAGTAAAAATAATTTTTTAGAAATACGCAACAAGGTTAACTACAGCCAGTTGAAAATCCCCCCGGTGATTGGTGGTAAGGCCACTGTGAACGCTGTGTAGTTATTCCACTGGTGTTGGTCATCGAATCAAATATTTAAAAGTTTTTATCAAAATCAGCTGCACCCTGGCCCCAAGTTGTCCGACTCGTTTCAATTAAGTTATAGAATTTCTGTTGATAATATGGAATGCGAAACTCGTTTGCAGCTCAAACATTTACTTACTAGAACATCCGTGGGCAGTCCTACAGTTTACGTATATCGGGAAGCATTTGCTTTATACGTCACTGTATTAGATGAATAAATTTCACATTTAGCTTACGTTGCAGTGTTTCAGCTACACACTTAAAATCTGATGTTTTTGTTTATGTGAAGCCGCCGATGACACCTACGCAGACAAAGAAAAACTAATAGGGAGCAACAATTGGTAGCATATACTTGCAAATAAAACCTTTCATTGGACTCTGCCACAATAAAAAGCATGTTGCTTCAAACCTCACCGTTAGATTATATTCCGTTCGCGTTTCAGCATCAAGCTGCTCCGTGGAATAGATGCGACCAGAGAGGGTATCAATAGCGAAGGGAAGTGTTTTGTTCGAATCCAGACTGAATTTGAGCAGAAGCAAATCCGTCACAACAGCAGGACTAGCTTTGCTACTTCCTCGCGGCAACGAGTCCTGATCTTTCACGCCCAGCTGAATCACATTGGATCCCACGGGCAGACTCTCCTTCAGTTCCACAGT